ACGGTCTTCTTTCATACCAACACACTCATTGTTGGAACACGCACATGTCTTACTGTTAGCGTGTGTCGGAGTTGGACCTGCGACCACCACACGTGTGACTTTGTGTGTGTGTGTGTGTGTGTGTGTGTGTATGTGTGTGCATGGGGTAGACACTCAGAGAGTATAATAAGAGCGTACAAAGGCCCCGGAGTGGAACGTCAGTAGAGATACAAACACGCCAGTCATTTTTCACCCGCCTACAGATCAATATTACAATCATAACTTGGCATAATATTCTAGATCTACATATTGAATTTGCGCATTGGTCTTTGGAATAAAAAGTTGCCATAAAAAATGCTAGGCTCTACACAACAACACAACCTGTTTAGCCAACAATACGCCATAGAAGTTAGATGACACAGGCAAGCATATGAACTAATCGGACCTTTTGCACAGTAGAGTTCAGCGTATATTCCTACACTTTTCCAGCATTTCTTTGGTACAGCATCAAAGAAACGAAAACGCCTCTCATTTGAAACCAAACTACTTTTGATTCAGGGAGTTGAATACATTTATACATTATTAGTTCAGTGCCTGTAACTATCTACACAAAAACCTCATGTTTTACAATAACAAACACTTGCATTCAACAAAATTGAAGGTGAGGCCCCATGACTTCATTCTATATTGTACCCCAGTGTCACAGTACAAGTTAATGAAAACAGTGGACAAAAGTAACAAGGATGACATAGACTTAGACCCATGACAACAACGGCACACAATCACTTCAACAACAAAAAAAACCACGACGACCACCCCAACTTCCATCCATGAACACCACAAAGACTTCAACTGCAACCCACAAAAACCACAATGACTTAAGACCAACGGAGATTTTAATTGACAACGACTTCGACCCACGCCGACCTCAACAACCCTGATCCAAGAAATATGACGACCAACAACCACAATGACTATGACCAAGGTGAACTATAAACCATGATAAGTTTGACCCACGAAAACCACAAGACGCGACAACTTCAACCAACGACAACTTCAACCAACGACCCACAAAACGCGACGACTTCGACCAATGACCCACAAAACGCGACGACGACTTCGACCAACGAAACGCGACAACGACTTTGACTAACGAAATGCGTCGACTTCGACCAACGACCCACGAAACGCGACGACGACTTTGACCAACGAAACGTGACGACGACTTCGACCAACGAAATGTGACGACTTCGACCAACGAAACGCGACGACTTCGACCAACGAAACGCGACGACTTCGACCCACAAAACGCGACGACTTCGACCAACAACCCACAAAACGCGACGACTTCGACCAACAACCAACGAAACACGACGACTTCGACCAGCGACCCACGAAACGCGACGACTTCGACCAACGAAACGCGACGACTTCGACCAGCGACCCACGAAACGCGACGACTTCGACCAAAGACCCACAAGACGCGACGACTTTGAACAACAACCCACGAAACGCGACGACTTTGACCAATGACCCACAAGACGCGACGACTTTGACCAATGACCCACAAAACGCAACGACTTTGACCAACGACCCACAAAACGCAACCACTTCGACCAACGACCCACAAAACGCGACGACTTCGACCAACGACCCACAAAACGCGACGACTCCAACTGCTTCAACTTTACCCACAATGGCCGCGATCCACAAAGACCACAACAAATTTGATCCAAGACGACTTGGGCCCATGATAACCACAACAACTTTGATCCAAGACAACCATGAAGACCCCGAAAACTTCGACCACGACAACTTCAACCTCGACAATCATGACAACTTCAACCACAACAATTTCAACAATGACAACCTCGACAACTTGAACAATGTCAACCACGACAACTTCAACCTCAAAACCATGACAACTTCAACCATGACAACAACAACAACCATGACAACAACAACAACCATGACAACCACGACAATTTAAATCTCGCAACTGCATTAAGTCATATGAGCGCCATAAGATAAGAGGTGTTACAAGAGAGTAACAAACACAAAAAAGAAGGAGGAGAGATAAGGACGATATATGTTTGATAGGAAAGAAGGAGCAAACCACACCAGCGCACCCGCCAACCACCCACGTCGACCACTGTGATGATGACACACAATCGACCACTGTGACTGACGCAAAAACACCACTGTTCCCTTTATTTCTAACATAAAAGTGTAATTTTTCCTTATAAATGTTTAATCTCCGTCCACTTACTTCAATATACTTCATAAGCAAAGAAGATAAATAATGTTGCAGATCCAACAATGTTTCTTGATTGGTCCTACGTGACAGGTCCAATATGACTGGTCCTACGTGACTCGATGCTCTTCCAAAAGAAATCTCTGCAAACGAGACATACTGTGGGGAAACAGAAAACAGGAGACAACTGATGTAGGCCTACTTCCCCGAAACAGGAAGTCTTTACAGCTTGATTTCTAAGCTTAGGCGATGCTTATGGAAAAATACAAGGTCATGCGGTAGGTAGGATACCGGGTATGCTCCAGAAAATGGAATATCTACAGATGTCAGAATGTGCGTCACTACCGTTCTAGTTACAACAGAAGGGATCGTATTTTAGCACAGGATTTTCAGTCTTTGGAAAACTTTCCAATTACACCACGCCCAACCCATCTTTTACTTCCTCTTTGGACACTGAAACAAAAACTAACCTTTGTGGTCCCTTAGAGACGCTTCCCTTTGGGTCCTCCGCGGCTGGTCCTCTGCCAGGAAGGTGGGGGGGGGAGGGCATGAGTCCTCAGCATCCGCTCTCGGAAAAAGAATTCATACAAAGGCATGGGGTTACTAGTCCAAGGTGGTGTTTCTGGCAACTGCTACGGCCTAGCCTTCCATAACGACTTTGAAATGTCTACAAGAAAACTGCATCTGCTTTAGCCTCGTAGTAATGTCTTTGTATTTTACGCAGAGCAGGTCGCGAGCCAAAGCCAACAATCTTCACCTCTTCACGTTCTGCAGGCAGCAGCTTGCTAAATTTAGGTGCTGTCTCTGCCTGCTGTACTGTAGATGCACAATTCTATTTCATCAATGACTGCAGCTTGCTGAGATTAGGGGCTTATGCAGTCAATTCCAAAGCAACACAAGATTGGCTTCAAGTTTACTCATAGGCTAGATTATTGGCACTGCCACTTACCATCAATTAAGTCATCATTTCAAACTTTTATAGTTTCAAACTTCTGAAGTTAAGAGAATTCTATTATTCTTTTGCGACATTTTAAACACCCGACAAGCTGTGGAGAAAATTTGCATGCAAATTTCAGCGAAGTTCAAAAACAACGATGGGCCAACTTACATGGCCAGCTCAAACAGGAAAAAGGAGAAATGTTGAACTTCGCAAAGGGAAATGAAACCAACAGTGTCTGAAATACTCACCACGACAGTCATTGCCAGAATACATATTATGTTATTCAATACGTCGAAAAAATAACCACCTATCTTTCACTTGCAGTGTCAGCTACAGTAGTTCCCCCCACCCCTCCCCTCTGATCATAGACCAATCTTCATCTACTGCGGTTTTATAGTGGGCAGCAGCTCGCTACTCTTAGGTGCTGTTTCTGCCCACTCTACACATAGCCTATTTCATCAGTGACTGCAGCTTGATAGTCTTAGGGGCTGATCATCAGTCTTCAAGATACACATTTAAAATTTACCAAAAGTTTCACTCATCGCGATGTCAGAGAGATTATTCATGGGCCTACTTGTCGGCAGCAGCTTGTATTTTTAGGTGCTGTCTCTGCCGACTGAAAACTGTAGTATAGGCTATTTCATCAGTGACTGCAGCTTGATAGTCTTAGGGGCTGATCATCAGTCTTCAAGATACACATTTAAAATTTACCAAAAGTTTCACTCATCGCGATGTCAGAGAGATTATTCATGGGCCTACTTGTCGGCAGCAGCTTGTATTTTTAGGTGCTGTCTCTGCCGACTGAAAACTGTAGTATAGGCTATTTCATCAGTGACTGCAGCTTGATAGTCTTAGGGGCTGATCATCAGTCTTCCAAATTATAGCCCTTTAACATTTACCATCAGTATACTGCAAGAGAAAAGAAGGCAAAGAATATTGCAAGTTTCTCACCTTTTCTCTAGGCTGTTCTTAAAGGACTCGATGCTCTTCCATCCAGAAGAAATCCCTTGACACAAGAGGTATTCTGGGAAAACAGAAAATAGAAGACAACTGAGGAACTTCCCTAAAATGAAACTCTTTACAGTCTGACTTTTTACTCGGGCAATTTTCGTTTCGCAATAGAGCTAGGTTTCCGCGGAGTACAGCGCTTGTGGAAAAATACGAGGTCATGAGGAAGGTAGGGCACTCTCAAGAAACGGATCCCTCCGTAGGGGCGCCAAGTTAAAGAAACCGAAATATGGAAACATTTCAGAACATGCGTTGCCGTAATTTCTCACAGAAAACTGTAGTTTTTCCCACGCATAATAATACTCTCCACTCACATCAACGTACTTGAAAAGCAAAGAAGACAAATAACCTAGCCATTCTCACCTTTTCTCTTGGCTGGTCCTGCATGACTCGAGGATCTTCCAGAATACATCTCTTGAAACACCATGTACTCTGAGAAAACAGAAAGCGGGAGAAAACTACTGTAGCTCCCACAAAAAAGGCAGTCTTTACACCTTGATTTCTACGCTTTAGCCGCAACTCGCTCAAGTTAACTTGCACTCTCCCTCGAGCCGCAGAATTTAGAGCTAGGTTTTAACGGAGAGCGATGCTTGTGGAAAAATACAAGGTCATGCGGTAGGTAGGATACCGGGTATGCTCCAGAAAATGGAATATCTACAGATGTCAGAATGTGCGTCACTACCGTTCTAGTTACAACAGAAGGGATCGTATTTTAGCACGGGATTTTCAGTCTTTGGAAAACTTTCCAATTACACCACGCCCAACCCATCTTTTTACTTCCTCTTTGGACACTGAAACAAAAACTAACCTTTGTGGTCCCTTAGAGACGCTTCCCTTTGGGTCCTCCGCGGCTGGTCCTCTGCCAGGAAGGTGGGGGGGGGGGGGCATGAGTCCTCAGCATCCGCTCTCGGAAAAAGAATTCATACAAAGGCATGGGGTTACTAGTCCAAGGTGGTGTTTCTGGCAACTGCTACGGCCTCGCCTTCCATAACGACTTTGAAATGTCTACAAGAAAACTGCATCTGCTTTAGCCTCGTAGTAAAGTCTTTGTATTTTACGCAGAGCAGGTCGCGAGCCAAAGCCAACAATCTTCACCTCTTCACGTTCTGCAGGCAGCAGCTTGCTAAATTTAGGTGCTGTCTCTGCCTGCTGTACTGTAGATGCACAATTCTATTTCATCAATGACTGCAGCTTGCTGAGATTAGGGGCTTATGCAGTCAATTCCAAAGCAACACAAGATTGGCTTCAAGTTTACTCATAGGCTAGATTATTGGCACTGCCACTTACCATCAATTAAGTCATCATTTCAAACTTTTATAGTTTCAAACCTCTCAAGTTAAGAGAATTCTATTATTCTTTTGCGACATTTTAAACACCCGACAAGCTGTGGAGAAAATTTGCATGCAAATTTCAGCGAAGTTCAAAAACAACGATGGGCCAACTTACATGGCCAGCTCAAACAGGAAAAAGGAGAAATGTTGAACTTCGCAAAGGGAAATGAAACCAACAGTGTCTGAAATACTCACCACGACAGTCATTGCCAGAATACATATTATGTTATTCAATACGTCGAAAAAATAACCACCTATCTGTGACTGCAGCTTGATAGTCTTAGGGGCTGATCATCAGTCTTCAAGATACACATTTAAAATTTACCAAAAGTTTCACTCATCGCAATGTCAGAGAGATTATTCATGGGCCTACTTGTCGGCAGCAGCTTGTATTTTTAGGTGCTGTCTCTGCCGACTGAAAACTGTAGTATAGCCTATTTCATCAGTGACTGCAGCTTGATAGTCTTAGGGGCTGATCATCAGTCTTCCAAATTATAGCCCTTTAACATTTACCATCAGTATACTGCAAGAGAAAAGAAGGCAAAGAATATTGCAAGTTTCTCACCTTTTCTCTAGGCTGTTCTTAAAGGACTCGATGCTCTTCCATCCAGAAGAAATCCCTTGACACAAGAGGTATTCTGGGAAAACAGAAAATAGAAGACAACTGAGGAACTTCCCTAAAATGAAACTCTTTACAGTCTGACTTTTTACTCGGGCAATTTTCGTTTCGCAATAGAGCTAGGTTTCCGCGGAGTACAGCGCTTGTGGAAAAATACGAGGTCATGAGGAAGGTAGGGCACTCTCAAGAAACGGATCCCTCCGTAGGGGCGCCAAGTTAAAGAAACCGAAATATGGAAACATTTCAGAACATGCGTTGCCGTAATTTCTCACAGAAAACTGTAGTTTTTCCCACGCATAATAATACTCTCCACTCACATCAACGTACTTGAAAAGCAAAGAAGACAAATAACCTAGCCATTCTCACCTTTTCTCTTGGCTGGTCCTGCATGACTCGAGGATCTTCCAGAATACATCTCTTGAAACACCATGTACTCTGAGAAAACAGAAAGCGGGAGAAAACTACTGTAGCTCCCACAAAAAAGGCAGTCTTTACACCTTGATTTCTACGCTTTAGCCGCAACTCGCTCAAGTTAACTTGCACTCTCCCTCGAGCCGCAGAATTTAGAGCTAGGTTTTAACGGAGAGCGATGCTTGTGGAAAAATACAAGGTCATGCGGTAGGTAGGATACCGGGTATGCTCCAGAAAATGGAATATCTACAGATGTCAGAATGTGCGTCACTACCGTTCTAGTTACAACAGAAGGGATCGTATTTTAGCACGGGATTTTCAGTCTTTGGAAAACTTTCCAATTACACCACGCCCAACCCATCTTTTACTTCCTCTTTGGACACTGAAACAAAAACTAACCTTTGTGGTCCCTTAGAGACGCTTCCCTTTGGGTCCTCCGCGGCTGGTCCTCTGCCAGGAAGGTGGGGGGGGGGAGGGCATGAGTCCTCAGCATCCGCTCTCGGAAAAAGAATTCATACAAAGGCATGGGGTTACTAGTCCAAGGTGGTGTTTCTGGCAACTGCTACGGCCTCGCCTTCCATAACGACTTTGAAATGTCTACAAGAAAACTGCATCTGCTTTAGCCTCGTAGTAAAGTCTTTGTATTTTACGCAGAGCAGGTCGCGAGCCAAAGCCAACAATCTTCACCTCTTCACGTTCTGCAGGCAGCAGCTTGCTAAATTTAGGTGCTGTCTCTGCCTGCTGTACTGTAGATGCACAATTCTATTTCATCAATGACTGCAGCTTGCTGAGATTAGGGGCTTATGCAGTCAATTCCAAAGCAACACAAGATTGGCTTCAAGTTTACTCATAGGCTAGATTATTGGCACTGCCACTTACCATCAATTAAGTCATCATTTCAAACTTTTATAGTTTCAAACCTCTCAAGTTAAGAGAATTCTATTATTCTTTTGCGACATTTTAAACACCCGACAAGCTGTGGAGAAAATTTGCATGCAAATTTCAGCGAAGTTCAAAAACAACGATGGGCCAACTTACATGGCCAGCTCAAACAGGAAAAAGGAGAAATGTTGAACTTCGCAAAGGGAAATGAAACCAACAGTGTCTGAAATACTCACCACGACAGTCATTGCCAGAATACATATTATGTTATTCAATACGTCGAAAAAATAACCACCTATCTGTGACTGCAGCTTGATAGTCTTAGGGGCTGATCATCAGTCTTCAAGATACACATTTAAAATTTACCAAAAGTTTCACTCATCGCAATGTCAGAGAGATTATTCATGGGCCTACTTGTCGGCAGCAGCTTGTATTTTTAGGTGCTGTCTCTGCCGACTGAAAACTGTAGTATAGCCTATTTCATCAGTGACTGCAGCTTGATAGTCTTAGGGGCTGATCATCAGTCTTCCAAATTATAGCCCTTTAACATTTACCATCAGTATACTGCAAGAGAAAAGAAGGCAAAGAATATTGCAAGTTTCTCACCTTTTCTCTAGGCTGTTCTTAAAGGACTCGATGCTCTTCCATCCAGAAGAAATCCCTTGACACAAGAGGTATTCTGGGAAAACAGAAAATAGAAGACAACTGAGGAACTTCCCTAAAATGAAACTCTTTACAGTCTGACTTTTTACTCGGGCAATTTTCGTTTCGCAATAGAGCTAGGTTTCCGCGGAGTACAGCGCTTGTGGAAAAATACGAGGTCATGAGGAAGGTAGGGCACTCTCAAGAAACGGATCCCTCCGTAGGGGCGCCAAGTTAAAGAAACCGAAATATGGAAACATTTCAGAACATGCGTTGCCGTAATTTCTCACAGAAAACTGTAGTTTTTCCCACGCATAATAATACTCTCCACTCACATCAACGTACTTGAAAAGCAAAGAAGACAAATAACCTAGCCATTCTCACCTTTTCTCTTGGCTGGTCCTGCATGACTCGAGGATCTTCCAGAATACATCTCTTGAAACACCATGTACTCTGAGAAAACAGAAAGCGGGAGAAAACTACTGTAGCTCCCACAAAAAAGGCAGTCTTTACACCTTGATTTCTACGCTTTAGCCGCAACTCGCTCAAGTTAACTTGCACTCTCCCTCGAGCCGCAGAATTTAGAGCTAGGTTTTAACGGAGAGCGATGCTTGTGGAAAAATACAAGGTCATGCGGTAGGTAGGATACCGGGTATGCTCCAGAAAATGGAATATCTACAGATGTCAGAATGTGCGTCACTACCGTTCTAGTTACAACAGAAGGGATCGTATTTTAGCACGGGATTTTCAGTCTTTGGAAAACTTTCCAATTACACCACGCCCAACCCATCTTTTACTTCCTCTTTGGACACTGAAACAAAAACTAACCTTTGTGGTCCCTTAGAGACGCTTCCCTTTGGGTCCTCCGCGGCTGGTCCTCTGCCAGGAAGGTGGGGGGGGGAGGGCATGAGTCCTCAGCATCCGCTCTCGGAAAAAGAATTCATACAAAGGCATGGGGTTACTAGTCCAAGGTGGTGTTTCTGGCAACTGCTACGGCCTCGCCTTCCATAACGACTTTGAAATGTCTACAAGAAAACTGCATCTGCTTTAGCCTCGTAGTAAAGTCTTTGTATTTTACGCAGAGCAGGTCGCGAGCCAAAGCCAACAATCTTCACCTCTTCACGTTCTGCAGGCAGCAGCTTGCTAAATTTAGGTGCTGTCTCTGCCTGCTGTACTGTAGATGCACAATTCTATTTCATCAATGACTGCAGCTTGCTGAGATTAGGGGCTTATGCAGTCAATTCCAAAGCAACACAAGATTGGCTTCAAGTTTACTCATAGGCTAGATTATTGGCACTGCCACTTACCATCAATTAAGTCATCATTTCAAACTTTTATAGTTTCAAACCTCTCAAGTTAAGAGAATTCTATTATTCTTTTGCGACATTTTAAACACCCGACAAGCTGTGGAGAAAATTTGCATGCAAATTTCAGCGAAGTTCAAAAACAACGATGGGCCAACTTACATGGCCAGCTCAAACAGGAAAAAGGAGAAATGTTGAACTTCGCAAAGGGAAATGAAACCAACAGTGTCTGAAATACTCACCACGACAGTCATTGCCAGAATACATATTATGTTATTCAATACGTCGAAAAAATAACCACCTATCTGTGACTGCAGCTTGATAGTCTTAGGGGCTGATCATCAGTCTTCAAGATACACATTTAAAATTTACCAAAAGTTTCACTCATCGCAATGTCAGAGAGATTATTCATGGGCCTACTTGTCGGCAGCAGCTTGTATCTTTAGGTGCTGTCTCTGCCGACTGAAAAGTGTAGTATAGCCTATTTCATCAGTGACTGCAGCTTGATAGTCTTAGGGGCTGATCATCAGTCTTCCAAATTATAGCCCTTTAACATTTACCAAAAGTTTCACTCATCGCAATGTCAGAGAGATTATTCATGGGCCTACTTGTCGGCAGCAGCTTGTATTTTTAGGTGCTGTCTCTGCCGACTGAAAACTGTAGTATAGCCTATTTCATCAGTGACTGCAGCTTGATAGTCTTAGGGGCTGATCATCAGTCTTCAAGATACACATTTAAAATTTACCAAAAGTTTCACTCATCGCAATGTCAGAGAGATTATTCATGGGCCTACTTGTCGGCAGCAGCTTGTATTTTTAGGTGCTGTCTCTGCCGACTGAAAACTGTAGTATAGCCTATTTCATCAGTGACTGCAGCTTGATAGTCTTAGGGGCTGATCATCAGTCTTCAAGATACACATTTAAAATTTACCAAAAGTTTCACTCATCGCAATGTCAGAGAGATTATTCATGGGCCTACTTGTCGGCAGCAGCTTGTATTTTTAGGTGCTGTCTCTGCCGACTGAAAACTGTAGTATAGCCTATTTCATCAGTGACTGCAGCTTGATAGTCTTAGGGGCTGATCATCAGTCTTCCAAATTATAGCCCTTTAACATTTACCAAAAGTTTCACTCATCGCAATGTCAGAGAGATTATTCATGGGCCTACTTGTCGGCAGCAGCTTGTATCTTTAGGTGCTGTCTCTGCCGACTGAAAAGTGTAGTATAGCCTATTTCATCAGTGACTGCAGCTTGATAGTCTTAGGGGCTGATCATCAGTCTTCCAAATTATAGCCCTTTAACATTTACCATCAGTATACTGCAAGAGAAAAGAAGGCAAAGAATATTGCAAGTTTCTCACCTTTTCTCTAGGCTGTTCTTAAAGGACTCGATGCTCTTCCATCCAGAAGAAATCCCTTGACACAAGAGGTATTCTGGGAAAACAGAAAATAGAAGACAACTGAGGAACTTCCCTAAAATGAAACTCTTTACAGTCTGACTTTTTACTCGGGCAATTTTCGTTTCGCAATAGAGCTAGGTTTCCGCGGAGTACAGCGCTTGTGGAAAAATACGAGGTCATGAGGAAGGTAGGGCACTCTCAAGAAACGGATCCCTCCGTAGGGGCGCCAAGTTAAAGAAACCGAAATATGGAAACATTTCAGAACATGCGTTGCCGTAATTTCTCACAGAAAACTGTAGTTTTTCCCACGCATAATAATACTCTCCACTCACATCAACGTACTTGAAAAGCAAAGAAGACAAATAACCTAGCCATTCTCACCTTTTCTCTTGGCTGGTCCTGCATGACTCGAGGATCTTCCAGAATACATCTCTTGAAACACCATGTACTCTGAGAAAACAGAAAGCGGGAGAAAACTACTGTAGCTCCCACAAAAAAGGCAGTCTTTACACCTTGATTTCTACGCTTTAGCCGCAACTCGCTCAAGTTAACTTGCACTCTCCCTCGAGCCGCAGAATTTAGAGCTAGGTTTTAACGGAGAGCGATGCTTGTGGAAAAATACAAGGTTATGCGGTAGGTAGGATACCGGGTATGCTCCAGAAAATGGAATATCTACAGATGTCAGAATGTGCGTCACTACCGTTCTAGTTACAACAGAAGGGATCGTATTTTAGCACGGGATTTTCAGTCTTTGGAAAACTTTCCAATTACACCACGCCCAACCCATCTTTTACTTCCTCTTTGGACACTGAAACAAAAACTAACCTTTGTGGTCCCTTAGAGACGCTTCCCTTTGGGTCCTCCGCGGCTGGTCCTCTGCCAGGAAGGTGGGGGGGGGGGGGGCATGAGTCCTCAGCATCCGCTCTCGGAAAAAGAATTCATACAAAGGCATGGGGTTACTAGTCCAAGGTGGTGTTTCTGGCAACTGCTACGGCCTAGCCTTCCATAACGACTTTGAAATGTCTACAAGAAAACTGCATCTGCTTTAGCCTCGTAGTAAAGTCTTTGTATTTTACGCAGAGCAGGTCGCGAGCCAAAGCCAACAATCTTCACCTCTTCACGTTCTGCAGGCAGCAGCTTGCTAAATTTAGGTGCTGTCTCTGCCTGCTGTACTGTAGATGCACAATTCTATTTCATCAATGACTGCAGCTTGCTGAGATTAGGGGCTTATGCAGTCAATTCCAAAGCAACACAAGATTGGCTTCAAGTTTACTCATAGGCTAGATTATTGGCACTGCCACTTACCATCAATTAAGTCATCATTTCAAACTTTTATAGTTTCAAACCTCTCAAGTTAAGAGAATTCTATTATTCTTTTGCGACATTTTAAACACCCGACAAGCTGTGGAGAAAATTTGCATGCAAATTTCAGCGAAGTTCAAAAACAACGATGGGCCAACTTACATGGCCAGCTCAAACAGGAAAAAGGAGAAATGTTGAACTTCGCAAAGGGAAATGAAACCAACAGTGTCTGAAATACTCACCACGACAGTCATTGCCAGAATACATATTATGTTATTCAATACGTCGAAAAAATAACCACCTATCTGTGACTGCAGCTTGATAGTCTTAGGGGCTGATCATCAGTCTTCAAGATACACATTTAAAATTTACCAAAAGTTTCACTCATCGCAATGTCAGAGAGATTATTCATGGGCCTACTTGTCGGCAGCAGCTTGTATTTTTAGGTGCTGTCTCTGCCGACTGAAAACTGTAGTATAGCCTATTTCATCAGTGACTGCAGCTTGATAGTCTTAGGGGCTGATCATCAGTCTTCCAAATTATAGCCCTTTAACATTTACCAAAAGTTTCACTCATCGCAATGTCAGAGAGATTATTCATGGGCCTACTTGTCGGCAGCAGCTTGTATTTTTAGGTGCTGTCTCTGCCGACTGAAAAGTGTAGTATAGCCTATTTCATCAGTGACTGCAGCTTGATAGTCTTAGGGGCTGATCATCAGTCTTCAAGATACACATTTAAAATTTACCAAAAGTTTCACTCATCGCAATGTCAGAGAGATTATTCATGGGCCTACTTGTCGGCAGCAGCTTGTATTTTTAGGTGCTGTCTCTGCCGACTGAAAAGTGTAGTATAGCCTATTTCATCAGTGACTGCAGCTTGATAGTCTTAGGGGCTGATCATCAGTCTTCCAAATTATAGCCCTTTAACATTTACCAAAAGTTTCACTCATCGCAATGTCAGAGAGATTATTCATGGGCCTACTTGTCGGCAGCAGCTTGTATTTTTAGGTGCTGTCTCTGCCGACTGAAAACTGTAGTATAGCCTATTTCATCAGTGACTGCAGCTTGATAGTCTTAGGGGCTGATCATCAGTCTTCCAAATTATAGCCCTTTAACATTTACCATCAGTATACTGCAAGAGAAAAGAAGGCAAAGAATATTGCAAGTTTCTCACCTTTTCTCTAGGCTGTTCTTAAAGGACTCGATGCTCTTCCATCCAGAAGAAATCCCTTGACACAAGAGGTATTCTGGGAAAACAGAAAATAGAAGACAACTGAGGAACTTCCCTAAAATGAAACTCTTTACAGTCTGACTTTTTACTCGGGCAATTTTCGTTTCGCAATAGAGCTAGGTTTCCGCGGAGTACAGCGCTTGTGGAAAAATACGAGGTCATGAGGAAGGTAGGGCACTCTCAAGAAACGGATCCCTCCGTAGGGGCGCCAAGTTAAAGAAACCGAAATATGGAAACATTTCAGAACATGCGTTGCCGTAATTTCTCACAGAAAACTGTAGTTTTTCCCACGCATAATAATACTCTCCACTCACATCAACGTACTTGAAAAGCAAAGAAGACAAATAACCTAGCCATTCTCACCTTTTCTCTTGGCTGGTCCTGCATGACTCGAGGATCTTCCAGAATACATCTCTTGAAACACCATGTACTCTGAGAAAACAGAAAGCGGGAGAAAACTACTGTAGCTCCCACAAAAAAGGCAGTCTTTACACCTTGATTTCTACGCTTTAGCCGCAACTCGCTCAAGTTAACTTGCACTCTCCCTCGAGCCGCAGAATTTAGAGCTAGGTTTTAACGGAGAGCGATGCTTGTGGAAAAATACAAGGTTATGCGGTAGGTAGGATACCGGGTATGCTCCAGAAAATGGAATATCTACAGATGTCAGAATGTGCGTCACTACCGTTCTAGTTACAACAGAAGGGATCGTATTTTAGCACGGGATTTTCAGTCTTTGGAAAACTTTCCAATTACACCACGCCCAACCCATCTTTTACTTCCTCTTTGGACACTGAAACAAAAACTAACCTTTGTGGTCCCTTAGAGACGCTTCCCTTTGGGTCCTCCGCGGCTGGTCCTCTGCCAGGAAGGTGGGGGGGGGGGGGGGGCATGAGTCCTCAGCATCCGCTCTCGGAAAAAGAATTCATACAAAGGCATGGGGTTACTAGTCCAAGGTGGTGTTTCTGGCAACTGCTACGGCCTAGCCTTCCATAACGACTTTGAAATGTCTACAAGAAAACTGCATCTGCTTTAGCCTCGTAGTAAAGTCTTTGTATTTTACGCAGAGCAGGTCGCGAGCCAAAGCCAACAATCTTCACCTCTTCACGTTCTGCAGGCAGCAGCTTGCTAAATTTAGGTGCTGTCTCTGCCTGCTGTACTGTAGATGCACAATTCTATTTCATCAATGACTGCAGCTTGCTGAGATTAGGGGCTTATGCAGTCAATTCCAAAGCAACACAAGATTGGCTTCAAGTTTACTCATAGGCTAGATTATTGGCACTGCCACTTACCATCAATTAAGTCATCATTTCAAACTTTTATAGTTTCAAACCTCTCAAGTTAAGAGAATTCTATTATTCTTTTGCGACATTTTAAACACCCGACAAGCTGTGGAGAAAATTTGCATGCAAATTTCAGCGAAGTTCAAAAACAACGATGGGCCAACTTACATGGCCAGCTCAAACAGGAAAAAGGAGAAATGTTGAACTTCGCAAAGGGAAATGAAACCAACAGTGTCTGAAATACTCACCACGACAGTCATTGCCAGAATACATATTATGTTATTCAATACGTCGAAAAAATAACCACCTATCTGTGACTGCAGCTTGATAGTCTTAGGGGCTGATCATCAGTCTTCAAGATACACATTTAAAATTTACCAAAAGTTTCACTCATCGCAATGTCAGAGAGATTATTCATGGGCCTACTTGTCGGCAGCAGCTTGTATTTTTAGGTGCTGTCTCTGCCGACTGAAAACTGTAGTATAGCCTATTTCATCAGTGACTGCAGCTTGATAGTCTTAGGGGCTGATCATCAGTCTTCCAAATTATAGCCCTTTAACATTTACCAAAAGTTTCACTCATCGCAATGTCAGAGAGATTATTCATGGGCCTACTTGTCGGCAGCAGCTTGTATTTTTAGGTGCTGTCTCTGCCGACTGAAAAGTGTAGTATAGCCTATTTCATCAGTGACTGCAGCTTGATAGTCTTAGGGGCTGATCATCAGTCTTCAAGATACACATTTAAAATTTACCAAAAGTTTCACTCATCGCAATGTCAGAGAGATTATTCATGGGCCTACTTGTCGGCAGCAGCTTGTATTTTTAGGTGCTGTCTCTGCCGACTGAAAAGTGTAGTATAGCCTATTTCATCAGTGACTGCAGCTTGATAGTCTTAGGGGCTGATCATCAGTCTTCCAAATTATAGCCCTTTAACATTTACCAAAAGTTTCACTCATCGCAATGTCAGAGAGATTATTCATGGGCCTACTTGTCGGCAGCAGCTTGTATTTTTAGGTGCTGTCTCTGCCGACTGAAAACTGTAGTATAGCCTATTTCATCAGTGACTGCAGCTTGATAGTCTTAGGGGCTGATCATCAGTCTTCCAAATTATAGCCCTTTAACATTTACCATCAGTATACTGCAAGAGAAAAGAAGGCAAAGAATATTGCAAGTTTCTCACCTTTTCTCTAGGCTGTTCTTAAAGGACTCGATGCTCTTCCATCCAGAAGAAATCCCTTGACACAAGAGGTATTCTGGGAAAACAGAAAATAGAAGACAACTGAGGAACTTCCCTAAAATGAAACTCTTTACAGTCTGACTTTTTACTCGGGCAATTTTCGTTTCGCAATAGAGCTAGGTTTCCGCGGAGTACAGCGCTTGTGGAAAAATACGAGGTCATGAGGAAGGTAGGGCACTCTCAAGAAACGGATCCCTCCGTAGGGGCGCCAAGTTAAAGAAACCGAAATATGGAAACATTTCAGAACATGCGTTGCCGTAATTTCTCACAGAAAACTGTAGTTTTTCCCACGCATAATAATACTCTCCACTCACATCAACGTACTTGAAAAGCAAAGAAGACAAATAACCTAGCCATTCTCACCTTTTCTCTTGGCTGGTCCTGCATGACTCGAGGATCTTCCAGAATACATCTCTTGAAACACCATGTACTCTGAGAAAACAGAAAGCGGGAGAAAACTACTGTAGCTCCCACAAAAAAGGCAGTCTTTACACCTTGATTTCTACGCTTTAGCCGCAACTCGCTCAAGTTAACTTGCACTCTCCCTCGAGCCGCAGAATTTAGAGCTAGGTTTTAACGGAGAGCGATGCTTGTGGAAAAATACAAGGTTATGCGGTAGGTAGGATACCGGGTATGCTCCAGAAAATGGAATATCTACAGATGTCAGAATGTGCGTCACTACCGTTCTAGTTACAACAGAAGGGATCGTATTTTAGCACGGGATTTTCAGTCTTTGGAAAACTTTCCAATTACACCACGCCCAACCCATCTTTTACTTCCTCTTTGGACACTGAAACAAAAACTAACCTTTGTGGTCCCTTAGAGACGCTTCCCTTTGGGTCCTCCGCGGCTGGTCCTCTGCCAGGAAGGTGGGGGGGGGGAGGGCATGAGTCCTCAGCATCCG